CTGTGCCGTTCAAGGGCTAGGGAAAGCGTTTCCAGCTGAAGGCTACGCTACGTAGCAACCAAGACCCTCCGGAGAAGTCTGTGCTTCCAGCGATTCCAACAGAGTTGGACATAGTGTGTCCTGAACCGTGGCTGTCTGAGATGGAGATACGGAGCAGCACAGAGGAGCTGCTACAGGCTACGAGATAACCACTGTAGCTAAAATGGGAAACATCCCGTGCAACTGTGAGTTTAACCCATTGCAAATCGCCTTATTGTTGCATCGGATTGATCCAGATCTCTTTGAGTTGCTGTTGGATGAACGGACTGGACTGAAGACAGGTCTGCAAAAGACTGGATTAAACTGAAGGCCTTCACTCCACCGAACATAAACAGTAACTTTAAACTTCCCCCTCCTTTCCTCCTCCTTTTCCCCTCCATGCTTAACAAGTGCTCTGCTTGGGTGAACTAGATAGAATAGTCGTGTTGGTGTTTTTATTTGAAATAGGCTGTCTGATTCAACTCTCTTTGTTTCAGTTGGGCTCGACCAGAACCCCTGGGGCCAGCTAACCTAACGGGTTTTTCTGGCTCATCGTAGTTTAATGCATTCCAGAGGCATTATTAATTTTCCTACCATAAACTGAATGAAACTTGACTGTTTTGACTGCAGTTAACATCTATGTGTCAGGGTTTATTTAAATTGTATCTGCTGCTATGATAAAGAACACTTTAGAATGCATTAAGCCTAAACTTTGAACGGACTCTTGAACCGCATACATCGTATTTGAACCCGTGGTCTTTTGTGTTAATTTTACATAGTGAAAGATTTATCACATTGGCAGGATTCACTCTTCGCATCCGAATGAACAGAGACACATTTATTTGGTTGGTGGATAATAACTTTGCTGATAGCCATAGCCTAAATTACTAAATTGTTGAAAGTCAACTGGATTATTAACAGCCAGATTCAGGAGTCCAACCTTTTAAGTAAAGGGGCTAAAACCCTGATCAGTAAGCAAATTACAGATATAATCATTCAACTGATAATAAATAACTAGTTTTACCCTTGATTTGAATTACCTATTAATCAACTATAACTTCCAGTTCTAGTTATCTAATATATTCATAATCTTCTGGTGAACTTTCACAACAAATTTATCGAAAGTAAAACTTTCAGTGTTTTGGCCCTTCTGACTTGGAGTCAAAAATTTTCCCTCTGGTGATTTTAGTGGATATTTAAATGTTGACCCTTCCAATGTTGTAAAATGTTGGTCATGACTTAAACAAACAACTTAAAAGTAATATTGTATAGCAAACAGACTTAAAAGATACCTTAAAAAGAGATGTGTGTTGAAACAAGATGCTATATAAAGTGCTGCTTCCTGATATTTAGCTGTTGCTGTTGATTTCTGTCCCTGTTATCACAATCTGCACACAAACCACCAAGTACCAGTGAAAGATTCATGGAGTGGCTATGATGAAGGCCTCTTCTCTTTTGATCAGCTTACCCCGAAGGAAAAATCTTTGCCCTTCAACCTGAATACACACCCACGCATGTACATACACACTGTCACGCTTGCAGCCACCAGCACTGGACCTGTTAGGAGGGTGGAGAGCAGTGAACCACACAGCTTAAGGGGAACTTACTCACCCTTAGCCTTCTTAGACGTAGGCTCACGGACACACACTCAGAGAAAAATCTGGAGAACTGTCGTCTGTCATCAGACTAATGTTGCATACACGTCTGTAGGCTATTTGAAGCATGCTCAAATAAATCTCCATGAACAAAAAAGATATGCATTTCAATTTGTCTTGCAGTCTTAAGAATATCCATAAAACACACAGAAATGCCAAAGGCAAGACATTTTACAGTCTTCTGGAGTCTATAAATCTATACCCTTCATTAAAATAAATCTTGACTTGAGGAGAAAAAAGGATTTTGTCATATGTTTCCAAAGCAGAGTTTCTGGCTTGGACTCAGGAGAACCAAATAATAAGATGGTAAATTTGGTCAATTTTGAGGACTTTTTGCATTATATAATTATTGAAGAGCTAGTGAAGGAAAGAATTTTTTGCACATCTGTTTGCACATCTTAACATCAGTCTTTGTAGATCACCCTCAACACGCCCACTTTTTGCATGTGCAAAAAAAATATATATATGCAATTCAGCACCTCTTATTTAGAATCTTTGAAGATTGGGCCCATAGTGTAGTGGGACTTGACAGATGGAACAATACTGCCTATTTATAAACGACTATCTGCAATGCTATTAGAACTGATACCATGAAGGTTTTAGTTTGATACTGTAGTATGGCTGGAACTAAAATGGATAGAATTTTAAAAAGGCTTTTCTCTGAGTGACATAACCTTATTTTTTTTTAAATTGTCTTTATAGTTGGTCATGATACCACACACTTTAACACGATTACATGGACATTTAGATTAAGAAACTGAAATGAATGCCACTGTTTCTTCCATACTTCTGACAATAAATATTTTGAGCTTTTTCTTTCTTATATACTAAAAACTGACATTAACCAAGTATAAAAAGTAAAGTAAAAAAATATAAAAGCAGTCTCCATGTTGTTAATCATTAAGAAACCATTAGAAGTATGACTGATTGTTTCATTAGTGATTTTCTCTTTGTTTCTATTTTGTCTTCCCCACAGAATAATTTAGCTTAGCCCCATTTAGACTACTGTTGCAAAATTGCCTTATTTTTCTTAATGAAGCCCAAATGCACATATATTACTTAGCAGAGACTGAATTAAGAGCACTTTGCCACCATTTACTAAGCGTTGAGAGTTGCACAATAGACCAGAATTGACTGCACAGAAACCTATGTTGTACTTCGGTTTAAATTCCCTGTTTAGAAACAGCAGCATCAAAAAGACAACCTACATAAACCTTAACTGTGAACTTTGTTCGTCTGCTATTCTGCAGAAATATGCCTAAATTTGCTTCTCGTAACTGAACTACTAGATGTGCTAAATTTCAACAACATTCAACTATCTGTTTAACAACAATTACATATTTTTTGAGAAATGTACAGTTAAACAGAGAGGGTTTAAATAAGATTTTTTACTCACATTTCTTATGTGAAAATATGCTACAACGAGAACCTAATAATATTAACCTTTAAGGTTCTTTAGCCATCCTAAGATGGACAACTGAGGATGTTGCTCTGTGTTTGACTCTAGCTATTGATTTATATTTAAGATGTATATTCAGGGCTAAATTGGCTGCAGTTAATACTAAATGTTGAATCACTGATATATTTAGTTATTGGCTCATATAAATTGATAATAAATTGACATAATTGTTTCTTTTTCTTTACAGGTGAACATCTCAGGATGTGTCCTCAGGGTCCGACTTGCTGCACTAGCTCCATGGAGGAAAACCTGGCCAGTCTGAGCACCCAAGAGACCGAGGGACTGATCAGAGAGGCCGGCAGGTCCCTGCAGGCTTCTTTCAACTCTCTCCACAGGAGCTTTGACAGTAAGTAGGGTTTTGGTGTGTGAGTGCATACAAGGCGCTCATTACTGCCAGAGCTCAATAACAAACCTTCAGAAGCGCACCCAGAGGAGCTTGACATTTGTATGTTGCGTATTTGAAAAGTTGTGTTTGGCTGCGCTCAGCGGTCAATACTGCAGCTTCAGTAACGCCGTTGAATGTGTATGTGTCAATGAATGCAGGTTTGTGTGTCCTGGGCGACACGAAGACCCCTGCCTGGGTGCTATAATGAGAGCAGAGTCAGCCAGACACAATGAAATGCGATAAGCCGATCCACTGATCTTTAGGGATACACACACACATACACACACACACACATACACAACAGAAAAAAAAGGGTTGTCCCTTGAGGCAGCAGCTAGTTCAGCTAATGAGCTGTTGACCCACCAAGGAGCCAAGCCTGCAGATCACTGAATATCAGAGACAGTGGGGGTAGAAAGGGAGGGCACTGAGAGTGCCAACCTAACCAAAGAGGAAACAGACAAGCGCAGCAAGTGAGAACTCATCATCAGTAATAAAAGGAAGCAGTGAGTTTTAACGCCAAAACAAATACAGAGAGTGGGCTAGAGGAGCAGGAAGTGAGAGAAAGACATTAATATCAGTCTAAGGCATAGGGCCACCGTACTTGAAGTAATGTGCCTGTCCATCTGGTTGTGGTTACAGCAGCCTGGCAGTGGACCACATTTACTGCAGAGACAGCTCTGTGGTTCCCCAATTCTCTCAGTTTTCACCTCTCTGTCACTTTGTATCAATCCAGCAGAAGTGAAGTTTTTAAAGGAACCGCTGCCAAAATCTCTACGGGGACTTAAGGCAAAAAACATTCTAAGTAAAAAGTCAAGTTTCAATGAACGCAGTGAATGAATGTTATTGTTTATCAGTAATAAAGCAGATGTCTACTGTGTGATAGAGTTATACAGGACTGGACTATGTGATTGTGTAGTAATGAAATGCAGCTGACTGATCTTTAATGAATTTGACAGTACTGAATGAGAGAGCTGCATTATACCACATGAACTGTTTCAGATTTGTATTCAGGAAACCGTCTGAACATCTCACCGCTACACAGAGGAGTGGGGCAAAGCCTCTTCAGAGAATGATAATAAAAAAAAGATGAAAATCGCTTATGCATTGTTTGTGTGGTTGACATATTTTTTATTTTAATCTAATTAACATAAATAGTGGTGTCTTTCCTGCTTATTGGCATAAGGATCCAGTTGTTTTTGGACTAAGCTTACAAAATTCTTGTGTGTCCACTACTAAATAAAAAAGTATCAAGGTTTAACTCTTATTGTGTTCCTGAAAAAAGCTAAAAATAAAGTGCCTATAGATAAAATTTAAAAAGCTAAAAAAAAAATGTTAATTGTACTGTCCTTAAAAACCTGGGTTTTAACTTTTCTTCATGCAAGCTTACACAGACATGCTCCTGTATGTGAACTGTTACTCCCACATAAATATCTCACCTCCCTCCTCTTTTCTAGACTATTTCACAGAGCTACATGGTCAATCTGAGCGCTCACTGCAGGAGGTGCTGTCCCCCCTCGGCTCCTTGTACTCCCAGAACAGCCCTCTGTTTGCAGAGCTCTACAGCGACCTGCGTCAGTACTATCGGGGCGTCGCCCTCAACCTGGACGAGAACCTGTCCGACTTTTGGTCCCAGCTGCTGGAGCGGACCTTCAAAGCATCTGCTTCCACAGATGTAAGTAAAAAGATACAAAGAGGAGAAGAAATAAAGTCCTTTAAAAGTGAAACTTTTGCAGGAGTTTGAATTGATGATAGCCATATAGGATAATTAAATTAGTATAATAAAAATTAACTGCATTTAACCAAAATAAATTGAAATTTAGTAGACATGGACTGAATTAGCAACTGAAAAGGGAATTAGAAATTTAGAGCAGGTGTTAAATCAGCATAAATGTTTTGCAAATTAGACCAGAATCTGGTGAAAATATCACATGAGGAACTTCACTCTTAAATTCAATTGAGAAACAAATGTTGCTGTTTGCGGCTCATCTTTCTGTATGACAGGTCAGCCTGTCAGAGGACTACCTAGAGTGTGTTGCTAAGCAGCAGGAGACGCTCCGGCCCTTTGGAGACATCCCCCGAGACATGAAAACAAAGGTGATCCGGTCTTTTGTCACTGCCAGGTCATTCGTCCAAGGGCTGTTAGTCAGCGCGGATGTGGTCAATAAGGTTTCACAGGTGAGTCTGTGTACTTGTGTTTCCATCTGCTCAAGGACTCATCATTAGACCCTCCCTTCCTTTTAAAGACAAACATGAAAACCCTTTCTCATAAATGATTCATTTCTAGGCTTGAGCAAGACGTTATGGTTCGCATTCTGATAACTGTGCCAGCGCCAAATTCCCGCTGAACTATTGATAATATGGCTGTTTGTGTGAGAGCTTCTCTAATGTCTGCTGGGCTGATTCCCAGGAAAACAGATGTGGTGGCTGCTGTCACACCCTAACTGTGAGAGAAAAATCCTCCACCCTGCAGATGAGAAACAAAAATACCATCGAAAACAAACAATCAGACTCTACCATGAGAGCAAAGCTGTCTTAGAGGGTTGACAAGATTGATGTCATTATTTATGCAAGGAGTTATTTTTTTAAGATCTTAGTGGAGATTTATCACAAACTGCCACATGTGCTTTTCTTATTTTTTTTTCTTCTAGTCAAAAAGCAATGTCTGGAAACAATCATTTATCTTAATTAAAGGTTTTTAAGATGATATTTTATTTAAATATGAGACATGTGGTTTCATTATAACATTAAGGCCGAGATTACAGTGTCGTGGCCAAGGAGGATTTTTTTTGCTATCATTAGATAAATGTAAAAAAAAACCCAATATAAATTCTCCACTTGCGTTTTTGTTGCCAGCATTTATGTGAAGCACTAAGCTTTGCAGAATATTGTTGTTTATTTCCAAATATTTGAATATGAATGATGGCACGCATTCTTGGCAATTGCTGAAGCTTTGTAATGCATCACAGTGCACATCCAGCCTACATACTTGGCTGTCTTTGTGACTGCACTCTTAAAATAACTCAAAACTTATGACCCCCTAAGTGTAATGCCACATTAACCATATTAAACAAAGAGCCCCTTTGGATCATGAGTGTCTGATTAAAGGATAAGATTTAGCAAAGGTAGAGGCTCTTAAACTTTTATATATGCAGAGTATGACACATAAGATTTCTGTATATGATCCAGTTTTTCATCCATTTTTTTCCTCCTGGATTAGCTCTTTAGTAGGTAGTATAGTGTCAGAGGCCTGGAGTTAAATAGACTGAATGATTTTAATAGTGGATCTCGTTTGTGCTGTTATGTGTTTTCTAATAGGGTAGTGGCAAAGCTTTGGCTGGCAAAGCCTCCTTGTTCAGACAGTGATGTGTAAATGCTTCCCTCTATTGACATGTTTCAGCACTGTGGAGTTAACCATTGGCAACAATGTAGAAATTACATCCTGAACTGCCTTATCACATGTGAGATAGAAATTAACATCCTTCCTTTCTCCAATAAAACTGATTCCAGGTGGCTTTTGCCGAGGAGTGCTCAAAAGCTTTAATGAAGCTTGTTTACTGTCCTTACTGCCGTGGCTTTGGCTCCGTTAAACCCTGCTCCAACTACTGCTCAAATGTCATGAAGGGCTGCCTGGCCAACCAAGCCGACCTGGATCCAGTGTGGCAGGAGCTCATAGGTATATCAGCCAATTTCAAAGTTATCCATTATATATATATATATATATATATATATATATATATATATATATATATATATATATATATATTTTTTTTTTTTTTTTTTTTTTTTTTTTTTAACAAAATATATTATCAGAGAAATATCCACAATTTATTTTGCAGCTCTCCTAAAAAGTGTGGTAGATATTTTCATACATTTCTATCAATTAGCTAATAATATAATGTACAGTAATAATAAAAAATCAGTACCAAGTTAATTTACGATAGGAATTTCATTAAAAATCATGAACTCATATATTGTTAAGTTACCTGAAAAAAAGTACAAACCTTTCTTTTTTTTTGTTCTTTTCTTCTTGAGTTTATTTAACTAGATATAAACAAATCAATCATTTTCTGCATAATGCTTAAGCAGAGGATTACACAAGTATTTACTTTCATCCAGGATAAAAACAAAAACATTTAAAATAAGAATGCATTGAATTTAATTTCTTTCTCTTAAAAAAGCAAACATTTGGGACCCTTTTTATCTTAACTGTAATTTTCTCTTTAATATAAATACATAATTGAGTTAACTGTCTTTTGAACATCACAATTTTACTTTTGATTAATAAATGTTTGGCGTCCAGTTGTCTATATCAGCATTTAGCCTTGTTATTATTGGTAAAATCACATTTCTCAAAAGGGACCAAACTTTACAAACTTTTACATGAGGCATTTGTGGATAAGAAAAAGAAATGTTTTTTGAGTTACTGAAAGGCTGGTCCTAAGCCAGGGGCTTTAAAACTAAGAATCCCTCTAGATTTATTGATGCATCTAAATATATAAGTCAGAACGACATGTATAATGTACAGTACATAAAACACTTGTTATGGTACCTTTACATCTCTCATTTCACTGTCGGCCTCATTTTTTTTATTTTTTTTTTACAAACCTTTCAAAAACATTTAATTCTGTTGATTCCGATGTGCATAGCTTAGAAAACAGTAAAACAGTTCCTTTTGACTGAAAATGTTAAAAAGAATAATACAATTATTTTATGCAAAAAGTCCTGGTCTTCTGCAGTTAGCTCTGTTTTATGAATTGATGTAAGAATGCAAAAGCAAGTAATTTGCCACAATTGTTTGTTTCACTTAACTTTACATTGATATTCTTGAGCGCTTAACGGTGGACCAAATGATGACATAAAGTTCTTAAGATCATATTTAAGTAATATTGAATGTCCTGACTTTTAGCTGCAGGTGATAATTATAAAAATGAACAGAAATAAGCGAATATATGTTTTCAGTCTGTGTGTAATGGATTTTTCTCATATTCTATTGTAGTTTCTGAAACTCATAAACTTGACAAAGATATTCTACTTAATTTTAATGTACCGCTCTATTTATTTTTGAGGAATATTATCACTGTTTCTTTGATTTCTAATAAACCATAGAAAGAATTGTATCCATGCATTCGTGAAGCTGAGGTGTCTGTCTTTACTCCTCTGTTCAGATACAATGATCCAGGTAGCATCCAGTTTCAGCACAGAACCCAGTCTGGATGTGGTTCTTTCTTCCATCCCAGTGCAAATTTATGAAGCTGTGCACTACCTGCAAGAAAACATGGAAACATTTACAGCTAAAGTAAGATATGTTTTCTTTTAAATAAATTGATTTGATGAATTTGTTTCTAATGTTTGTATATCTGGAGCATGTAACACAAGTAATTTCCCTCTGGGATTATTAAAGTATGTCTGATTCTGATTCTGATGTAATGATGTTCTTAAGTAGCAATCACAATCAAGATAACGCATTAAGGTAGAAATACAGTGCCTTGCAAAAGTATTCACTATCCTTTAACTATTTGGCCCTTTGTCACATTTTAGGGTTTCAAACTTGAAGATATAAAATAGTGTTCTTTGTGAAGAATCAACAGCAATTGGGACACATTCATGAAGTGAAACAGAATTTATTGGATATTTCAAACTTTAAAAAAATATATATAAGAAACTAAAGAGTGGGGCATGCAAGATGAATCGGCCCCTTTAACTTTCAGTGTAGCAAACTCTCTCCAGAAGTGAGGATCTCTGAATGATCCAAGGTTGACCTAAATGACTAACGATGATACATAAAATCCACCTGTGGGTAATCAAGTAATCAATATAAATGCATCTGCTCTGGGATAGTCTGTGATTTGTTTAAATCACAAAAAAACATCATGAAGAACAAGGAACACACCAGGCAGGTCTGAATTACTGTAGTGGGGAAGTTTCAAGCCAGATTTGGATTAAAAAAAAAGATTTCCCAAGCTTTAAACATCCCAGGAGCTCTCTACAATCAAAAATATTGAAATGGAAGGAGCATCAGACAACTATGAAGACCTCTTAACTTTCAGCTCATACAAAGAAAAGACAGATCAGAGATGCAGTCAAGAGGCCTACGATCACTCTGGATGAACTGCAGAGATCTACAGTTGAGGCGGGAGACTCAATCCCTACTGTAACTGGGGTTACTCATCTCCCCTAGTGGTCCTTAAGTGCATTGCAAGGGGTACATGAAAATATTTTCTCAGGTAGTAAAATAGAATAGGGGTGGGATCTTTTTTTTCTTTGTGAGGACCAAATTGAAAAATAAAACAAGCTTTTATCATGCAAAATTAAATTCTTCACCTTCAGCTTTGACACACATCCAAGCCAAGCAGAGGAACAGACTGGATGTAGAGAACATCCTGGTATCAGCTGTTTTTCCACACTGAGCTATCAGAGCTCATCAAAACAGCACAGATGTCTTGATGAAAACCAATAAAACTAATGATGTCAGTCTGACTAGAATTTTTGTCCTCTAGTTTTTTCGCAGTTTATCGTGTTTAAATGTGATTCTAAGGGAGTTACTCAGTGGAGTTTCATAAATACAGGTCTAAAATATGATTTTATGTTGTATTTATTCGATTCCTTACTAACATCCAGGCAAAAATATTTGATTTTGGGTTTTTTTTAGATGGGAAGCCTATGTGTTAAATGCTCCAATAGTTTTTTATTTTTTATTTTATAATCAGTTATTCTATGTTCCTCTTTTGGACATTCATGAATAATTTTGACTGAGAGGGGTATTCATGGTAAGACATAATACCCAAAGTGGTACACGTGTCAAAAACATCTGGAAAGACTGGTATAGTGTATAAATCTTGCCTTTATGGAAAAAGCCATTTCTTAAAGACATCCATAAAAAGTCTTGTTCAAGGTTTGCCATAACTCACCTGAGAGACATAGCAAACGTGGAAGAAGTTGCTCTGGTCAGATGAAACCAAAATGGAACTTTTTGGCAACAATGCAAAACATGTCTGGCATAAAAGCTACACAGCTTTTTACCATGAACAAACCATCCCCACTGTCAAACACGGTTGTGGCAGCATCATGGTTTGGACCTGCTTTTCTTAAGCAGGCACGGGGAAGACACAGGACCATTCTGGAAGAAAAGCGTCTGCAAAAGACCTGAGACTGGGATGGAGATTTATCTTCCAACAAGACAATAATCCAAAACGTTAAGCAAAATCTACAGTGAAATGGTTCAAAAATAAACATATCCAGGTGTTGAAATGGCCAAGTCAAAGTCCAGACCTGAATCGACTCAAGAATCAGTGGAAAGAACTGAAAACTGCTGTTCACAAACGTTCTCCATCCTACCGCATGGAGCTCTAACTGTTTTGCAAGGAAGAATGGGCGCAAATGTCACACTGCTGATGTGCAAAACTGATTCATAAACCCAAAACGACTTGAAGCTGTAATCACAGCAAAAGGTGGAGCTAGTATTTACTCAAGGGGGCTGAATAATTTTGCACACCCAATTTTTCAGTTTTACTTCTAAAAAAAAAAGTTTTTAATATTGGATAAATATTAAAAACTTTTTGAAAATATTTATCTAATATTAAAAATGTTTAATATAACACAAATATATAAAACAAGTTTTTAATATTGGATAAATATTAAAAACTTTTTGAAAAATATTTATCTAATATTAAAAATGTTTAATATAACACAAATATATAAAAAACGTTTTTAATATTAGATAAATTTCATTCCACTTGGTGATTGTGCCCCACTTGTTGATTCTTCACAAAACACAGCAAGTTTATATCTTTATGTTTGAAGCGTGAAATGTGGTAAAAGGTCAATTAGTTAAAGCAGGCCGAATGCTTTCACAAGGCCCTGTACAGTTTATTGTGGTTTTGCTGGTCACTTTACATATTCTATAAAAATCTCTGACTCATGTTAGATTTATTATAGCCCTTTAAAAGCTATAGACCTTTAAGTGTTCTATGGTAATAAGAATATTGGAATAAAACCTTTGCATGAGAGGGTATAAATATATGCAGTGTAAAGGGAGCATAATCCCTATTTGAAAAGTTAACCAGTGGCGACATCTAGTGGACTATTTCTTTTATCAACTTAATAGTTAATGCTTTTTTGGCTTGTCTTCATAAATTTTTATTTGCATCTGGGCCAGAAACTAATGTAATTAAAAAATTTCACATAATACATAAAATCCTGAGCTCTTCTGTGAAAAGCCAAGAATAAAGAAAAAAATCAGGAAAAGAAGAGAAACAGTTGTTTTTTGCCCATCTATACAAAATGATTGGTACCATTGGTAATGATTGGAACACTCTAAAAAACCAAGTAAATAATGCAGATTTATCTATAGCTACTTATGTTATGATAAAAAGGTGACATGACTGGACGACAGATGAATTGAGGGTGCGTAATTTGGGAGGAACAGTGTGAAACCTTGTGCTTTGTCTACATTTCACCTATATTTGTGTCTATGTGTGTTTTTTAGGTGTTTCAGACATGTGGAACTCCAAGTGAACCAGGAACCGGTAGTCCAGCTGTCCACGAGCAGAAGAAGAAGAGTAGCTCACTGACTGCGTCTCAAAATAAACCCAACCCAACAGTTGGACTCAGACTGGAAATGCAGGTGTGCTTTGCTATATACGTAGTATTTTAAACTCGCAGGTTTTCTGTAGAATTTAGTTCTGGGGATTTAATAAGCACTGAGAGAGGATAGACTTTTGTTAGTCTGTAAGCCTCCCTTTTTTATGTGGGCATTTTTTACATCATAACTGAGTAGAAGAAGCCAGTGTGACTTATTTTCCCCAGTTCACTAGCAGAAGCCACCAGATTTTATTTTAAAAGAATACATGATGCAGTAAGGTTGAAAGTAGAAATGCTTTTGTTTTTTTGTTTTTTGTTTTTATGGAAGACCGATTACTATAACTATTCTATTGCGGTTTCATTTGTTCAAAGCAAGAGTTTTAGTTTAAGTCCAAATATAATGTAACAAAATCTACACAGGTAGGTCTGTGGTTATATGACACAAAGACAGTATTATATGTTGACTTGGTGACTCCAATATGTCGATTGTGCTTCAGTTTAATTCACTCCAACAACTACCTTTGGATGCATTTAACCTGCATTACCATCCTGCTCCTTATTCTACTTTGTGTTAGTAAATGGATAAGTTGATTGGGTTTTAGTATTACCATTTGTGTGAGTTAGAAATCCCTATGAGCTGTCAACACTATACTTATCATTTACTGTGTGAGTGACAGCTAATAAACATGAAAAAAATGTCAACTTTAAACATGTGAAGATCTCAGCACATCTCCTTGATATTGTGCTCTGAATAATGCACACATTTTAGGCTCTAAGCTAACTTTAATTCTAGTGTTGTGTATTACATCAATATTACAAGTAAGAATTAAGTTCTCCTATTAAACAAGCTGGAGCACTGTTTTATGTGCTATAATGTGAATCCATAATGGCAGGTTGGATAAAAAAAAATAAATAAAAAATCTAAATGCTGAGCATTAATTTCTTCATTGAGCTAGAAAAACTGTATCAGTGCATCTGTTGCATCCTAACTGGTAGTTTTCTTTTGTGTGGTGTAATATAAAATATCTGTTTTAATGAAAAGTTGATTGAACTGTGAAAAAGAACTAAAACAAAAAGGAATTAAAAAGAAAAAAAAAGAAAGAAAAAACATGTTTCGTTTTGGTGCCGTCATTGGAAAATTACAATAGTCATCTTAATTAGACTTTATGGAAATTTAGAATTTTATTCAAAGAAAACATGTTTGAATAGTGTTAGGTCTTATAATTAAAGATAATTTGCATCTACTTGATACAGAAACACTTTTATCAGCAGGTCTTTTAGGAACATGAAAAACTGAAATCCATTGAAGTTTTTTTTTCTTGTGCATTAATTTGCACTTTTGCTTTGTCTTTTGGCTAAAATGTGAAAAGAAACATAAAACAATTCTTAAAAACAAAAAAAAAATTGATCGGATCTGTTGGTACTGCTGGAAACAAATGTACTGATATTATCAGCTGTTTGGATTAGTCTGGGTTCTGTGTGTAGTCCTCTGAGAAATGATGAAAGTTGGGTCTCTTTATATGAACCAGGTGACGGATCTTTCCAATAAACTGAGGGAGATGCGTCAATACTGGATCCAGCTCCCTGTAGCACTTTGCAGCAAACTGTCAGCTGGGAGTACCAGTCAGGACAACTGCTGGAATGGCATTACCAAAGCCAGGTGAGAATGAACCCAAATATTAATGTGAATAAATTACTCCTCGTTAAGTTTTAACCAGGGGTAAAAAAATAACCAGAATTCTTAAACTAATCTAGAGTAATAATTTGCCTTGTTTAATTTAAAGCACATGAATAGTTTTCCATTTTTCAGTTTAGTGCATTTACCTTGGAATTTATAAAGTTGTTTGTTTTTTTTCAGAACAATAGTCACTTAGTAACTTAATTACTGTGAGAAATTGTGTTTATGGTCTTTTACATGATCTTTGATGGTGTCTGATTAGTTCCTAAATGCAACAAGCTATTTTTAAGTGGAAGTGACAAGATTTTTTTTTTTNCAGCTTTGACACACATCCAAGCCAAGCAGAGGAACAGACTGGATGTAGAGAACATCCTGGTATCAGCTGTTTTTCCACACTGAGCTATCAGAGCTCATCAAAACAGCACAGATGTCTTGATGAAAACCAATAAAACTAATGATGTCAGTCTGACTAGAATTTTTGTCCTCTAGTTTTTTCGCAGTTTATCGTGTTTAAATGTGATTCTAAGGGAGTTACTCAGTGGAGTTTCATAAATACAGGTCTAAAATATGATTTTATGTTGTATTTATTCGATTCCTTACTAACATCCAGGCAAAAATATTTGATTTTGGGTTTTTTTTAGATGGGAAGCCTATGTGTTAAATGCTCCAATAGTTTTTTATTTTTTATTTTATAATCAGTTATTCTATGTTCCTCTTTTGGACATTCATGAATAATTTTGACTGAGAGGGGTATTCATGGTAAGACATAATACCCAAAGTGGTACACGTGTCAAAAACATCTGGAAAGACTGGTATAGTGTATAAATCTTGCTTTTATGGAAAAAGCCATTTCTTAAAGACATCCATAAAAAGTCTTGTTCAAGGTTTGCCATAACTCACCTGAGAGACATAGCAAACGTGGAAGAAGTTGCTCTGGTCAGATGAAACCAAAATGGAACTTTTTGGCAACAATGCAAAACATGTCTGGCATAAAAGCTACACAGCTTTTTACCATGAACAAACCATCCCCACTGTCAAACACGGTTGTGGCAGCATCATGGTTTGGACCTGCTTTTCTTAAGCAGGCACGGGGAAGACACAGGACCATTCTGGAAGAAAAGCGTCTGCAAAAGACCTGAGACTGGGATGGAGATTTATCTTCCAACAAGACAATAATCCAAAACGTTAAGCAAAATCTACAGTGAAATGGTTCAAAAATAAACATATCCAGGTGTTGAAATGGCCAAGTCAAAGTCCAGACCTGAATCGACTCAAGAATCAGTGGAAAGAACTGAAAACTGCTGTTCACAAACGTTCTCCATCCTACCGCATGGAGCTCTAACTGTTTTGCAAGGAAGAATGGGCGCAAATGTCACACTGCTAATGTGCAAAACTGATTCATAAACCCAAAATGACTTGAAGCTGTAATCACAGCAAAAGGTGGAGCTAGTATTTACTCAAGGGGGCTGAATAATTTTGCTCACCCAATTTTTCAGTTTTACTTCTAAAAGAAAGTTTTTAATATTGGGTAAATATTAAAAACTTTTTGAAAAATATTTATCTAATATTAAAAACGTTTAATATAACACAAATATATAAAAAAAGTTTTTAATATTGGATAAATATTAAAAACTTTTTGAAAAATATTTATCTAATATTAAAAATGTTTAATATAACACAAATATATAAAACAAGTTTTTAATATTGGATAAATATTAAAAACTTTTTGAAAAATATTTATCTAATATTAAAAATGTTTAATATAACACAAATATATAAAAAACGTTTTTAATATTAGATAAATTTCATTCCACTTGGTGATTGTGCCCCACTTGTTGATTATTCACAAAACACAGCAAGTTTATATCTTTATGTTTGAAGCGTGAAATGTGGTAAAAGGTCAATTAGTTAAAGCAGGCCGAATGCTTTCACAAGGCCCTGTACAGTTTATTGTGGTTTTGCTGGTCACTTTACATATTCTATAAAAATCTCTGACTCATGTTAGATTTATTATAGCCCTTTAAAAGCTATAGACCTTTAAGTGTTCTATGGTAATAAGAATATTGGAATAAAACCTTTGCATGAGAGGGTATAAATATATGCAGTGTAAAGGGAGCATAATCCCTATTTGAAAAGTTAACCAGTGGCGACATCTAGTGGACTATTTCTTTTATCAACTTAATAGTTATTGCTTTTTTGGCTTGTCTTCATAAATTTTTATTTGCATCTGGGCCAGAAACTAATGTAATTAAAAAATTTCACATAATACATAAAATCCTGAGCTCTTCTGTGAAAAGCCAAGAATAAAGAAAAAAATCAGGAAAAGAAGAGAAACAGTTGTTTTTTGCCCATCTATACAAAATGATTGGTACCATTGGTAATGATTGGAACACTCTAAAAAACCAAGTAAATAATGCAGATTTATCTATAGCTACTTATGTTATGATAAAAAGGTGACATGACTGGACGACAGATGAATTGAGGGTGCGTAATTTGGGAGGAACAGTGTGAAACCTTGTGCTTTGTCTACATTTCACCTATATTTGTGTCTATGTATATTTTTTAGGTGTTTCAGACATGTGGAACTCCAAGTGAACCAGGAACCGGTAGTCCAGCTGTCCACGAGCAGAAGAAGAAGAGTAGCTCACTGACTGCGTCTCAAAATAAACCCAACCCAACAGTTGGACTCAGACTGGAAATGCAGGTGTGCTTTGCTATATACGTAGTATTTTAAACTCGCAGGTTTTCTGTAGAATTTAGTTCTGGGGATTTAATAAGCACTGAGAGAGGATAGACTTTTGTTAGTCTGTAAGCCTCCCTTTTTTATGTGGGCATTTTTTACATCATAACTGAGTAGAAGAAGCCAGTGTGACTTATTTTCCCCAGTTCACAAGCAGAAGCCACCAGATTTTATTTTAAAAGAATACATGATGCAGTAAGGTTGAAAGTAGAAATGCTTTTTTGTTTTTTGTTTTTATGGAAGACCGATTACTATAACTATTCTATTGCGGTTTCATTTGTTCAAAGCAAGAGTTTTAGTTTAAGTCCAAATATAATGTAACAAAATCTACACAGGTAGGTCTGTGGTTATATGACACAAAGACAGTATTATATGTTGACTTGGTGACTCCAATATGTCCATTGTGCTTCAGTTTAATTCACTCCAACAACTACCTTTGGATGCATTTAACCTGCATTACCATCCTGCTCCTTATTCTACTTTGTGTTATTAAATGTATAAGTTGATTGGGTTTTAGTATTACCATTTGTGTGAGTTAGAAATCCCTATGAGCTGTCAACACTATACTTATCATTTACTGTGTGAGTGACAGCTAATAAACATGAAAAAAATGTCAACTTTAAACATGTGAAGATCTCAGCACATCTCCTTGATATTGTGCTCTGAATAATGCACACATTTTAGGCTCTAAGCTAACTTTAATTCTAGTGTTGTGTATTACATCAATATTACAAGTAAGAATTAAGTTCTCCTATTAAACAAGCTGGAGCACTGTTTTATGTGCTATAATGTGAATCCATAATGGCAGGTTGGATAAAAAAAAATAAATAAAAAATCTAAATGCTGAGCATTAATTTCTTCATTGAGCTAGAAAAACTGTATCAGTGCATCTGTTGCATCCTAACTGGTAGTTTTCTTTTGTGTGGTGTAATATAAAATATCTGTTTTAATGAAAAGTTGATTGAACTGTGAAAAAGAACTAAAACAAAAAGGAATTAAAAAGAAAAAAAAAGAAAAAACATGTTTCGTTTTGGTGCCGTCATTGGAAAATTACAATAGTCATCTTAATTAGACTTTATGGAAATTTAGAATTTTATTCAAAGAAAACATGTTTGAATAGTGTTAGGTCTTATAATTAAAGATAATTTGCATCTACTTGATACAGAAACACTTTTATCAGCAGGTCTTTTAGGAACATGAAAAACTGAAATCCATTGAAGTTTTTTTTTCTTGTGCATTAATTTGCACTTTTGCTTTGTCTTTTGGCTAAAATGTGAAAAGAAACATAAAACAATTCTTAAAAACAAAAAAAAAATTGATCGGATCTGTTGGTACTGCTGGAAACAAATGTACTGATATTATCAGCTGTTTGGATTAGTCTGGGTTCTGTGTGTAGTCCTCTGAGAAATGATGAAAGTTGGGTCTCTTTATATGAACCAGGTGACGGATCTTTCCAATAAACTGAGGGAGATGCGTCAATACTGGATCCAGCTCCCTGTAGCACTTTGCAGCAAACTGTCAGCTGGGAGTACCAGTCAGGACAACTGCTGGAATGGCATTACCAAAGCCAGGTGAGAATGAATCCAAATAATAAGGTGAATAAATTACTCCTCGTTAAGTTTTAACCAGGGGTAAAAAAATAACCAGAATTCTTAAACTAATCTAGAGTAATAATTTGCCTTGTTTAATTTAAAGCACATGAATAGTTTTCCATTTTTCAGTTTAGTGCATTTACCTTGGAATTTATAAAGTTGTTTGTTTTTTTTCAGAACAATAGTCACTTAGTAACTTAATTACTGTGAGAAATTGTGTTTATGGTCTTTTACATGATCTTTGATGGTGTCTGATTAGTTCCTAAATGCAACAAGCTATTTTTAAGTGGAAGTGACAAGATTTTTTTTTTTTTACAAAAATGCTCTTTGTGAATCTTTCATTTTTTTGCCTTTAAAATCATAAGTGGAGTCTGGAATAAAGAAAAAAATCCTGTGATCTAAGACTTTAATAATGAAAGTTTCAACACTTAAAAAAAAAACAGAAAAATTTTCATTCCAGCAAGGAAGCTTTCTTAAAAAAACAAGTGCTCTGAAGGAGAGAAACTAAATCGGAAAGGAGAAATTTTTTTTGGGTGAAATCCGTATGCATGCCAGAGTTTCTTGGAGAAACAATTTATCACAATTGCACACAAACAGGTAACATCCAAGGGTTTTGAAAAGCAATTTGTTGCATATACAGAGCCATGGAGCGGAGGCATTGAAAGCCATGCGGGCGTGTGGCCCTGAGCAGATCTAATCCTTCCTCAATCCATGGGTAAATGGATTACAGAGCTATGTGATGCTGTGTTGATATGTGCATTATTCACCTAAACACAACCCTTCGTCTTCAAAGACGTTGGATTACAGCCAAGTGATCTGATTTATCCTTGAATGACATGGAAAACACATGAATATAAAAGGTGTTTTTGTGTCTGAATAATGTGACCGACCATGAAATATCGATGAATCACTGACTCAGTGTGACAGTTTAAGGATATATGAATTTCCCTGTTTAGGGATGGACATCACCATCTAGTGGATTGCAAGAGAAGTTTTTTTTTATTTATTTATTTATTTTTTTTATACTCAGGCATGAGAGAACTTAATTATGCTATTAAAACTAAAACGTAGATTTAGAGGTGATTGCCTTTTGTCAAGTTTAAAATATTACAGAAATTGCTGCAGAATGGTTTTTCACATTCTGCTAAAAAAAATTTCATGTGACCTACTTTTGAAAACCCCTCCCCCACAACAGTCTTTATCTGCTATTCACTGATGAAAATTACAGTATGGCTTTGCTGATTGTTCTTTCAGTTATTTCAAACCAGCTGCATTTCTTGCAATCCTTTTTTTTTTTTTTTTTACAATGACAGACCAGGCCTACAATTACTGTACTTTACTACAACTATTTTCACATTTAAAAAAATGCTAGAGAGAAGAAAGGAAACAAATATTTAAGAAATAAATTTTTGTTTAACAAAAAATGTTATTATGGTGAGCCAGTGAATGGATATAGTACCTACCTCTCAATACTACAGAAGTAGAAGGATGGTTGTGTGTATTTGTTGCTGCATTTTACCTTAACCAGAAATAGTTGCAGATTGCAGATTTACCTACAAATGTAATTTAAAACTTTTAAGATGTATTTAGACTGACAGTTTTTTGTAACCAAGTGAAAATTACATGATGTTACATATGTTTTATCAGTCTCTCATACAGTCTTCTAAAATGTACAGCAATCTCTTATCAAATCTGAATGCTTGTTTGGTTTTACGTTTCAGGTGATGCGGAAGTAGTATACTACTCTAACTGTTCTCTGTTCCAATCAGGTACCTTCCAGGGGTGATGGGTGATGGTCTGGCTAGTCAGATCAACAACCCAGAAGTCGAACTTGACATCACAAAGCCAATTATGAAAATCCGGCAGCAGATCATGCAACTCAAAATAATGAGCAACAGGCTAAAAGATGCACTGGAAGGCAACGATGTGGACTTTCAGGATGCAAGTGAGCCCCTACGCCCCTACTTTTCATATTCCTAACATTTGGTTTTTTTTACCATACTTTTGATGTTTTTTTACTATTGATTGAGTACTTTTATTTTAGAGCATTTTCACCATCAAAAGTGATAATTCTAAGAATGTATAAAAAAAATATTAAAACAACGTATACATATTCATAATTATGAACTCAATACCACATTACTTATCCTTTTTATAGTTAAACATACATTTTTAGTTGAATACACTTATAGGTATTTATGCCGTAAACTATGAAATAATGGAAAGTATATAAAAGGGGTATGATGAAGTAAAACCTATTATTCAAATGCCCTCTCCTTCTGATGTCCCATGATGTAAACTCCAGCTTCCTATTTCTACTGATCCAATATTCCCATAACAAAGTATATCAAAATAAATCAATTCTCACATACCATCCAGTACGCACAGTATGTATATCTGTACCTCACAATCCAATTACTATTTAATTTTTTATAGGTCTATTATTTAATCAATAAATCACCCCAGAGCATTATCTAAATGTTAAAACAGCTTTCACTAAATGAAAAATTAGATTTTTGGCAACACATAAAATCCAGTTATTCCAGATATACATGGTCGTATTTTATGTTATGGTAAATGGCATGTACTTATATAGCGCCTTTATTCAAGTTAGGAGACTTGACCAAAGCGCTTTACACTACATTCATTCACCCAGTCAAGCAATTATAAATAACATATTAGTAAATTTTATAGTTATTGATGATTATGATGAATGTATTTTAAAGATGTCATCAGGGATGAACCATAGAAGTTACATTTTTGATAGATATTCAAGGTTGAAAATGCTATTGTAGCCAAACTGAGTCTCAATTTTCCTGCATGACTCCACAGGTGAAGATATCAGCGGCTCAGGAAGTGGGATGTGTTTGAGCGCTCAATGTGCTCGGAACAGACCAGGGTTATACGCCTACGCACCGGAGACTAACCCTGTTGCAGGAGCAGCGACGGTTAACATCAGTGTGTTTAACCTACCACTGCTGCTCCTGTTTACTCTCCTGCTCCTTCAGCGATGATGGACCCCTTTGCAGACGCTTTGTATAAGGCTCTGAGGAGCCTGAGGACTGAACCATGGGAAATGGGGTTAAAAGGGAGGATGAATGAAACATAACTTTGCCAAAAAGACATTTTGTCTGACAGATGAACATTTTCCCTGACTTGAGGCAATGAAAATTGACCATATTCTTTACTTTGCCGAGCTTCAATGTGTTTTAGTTTGAATGTGAATTTGTGCGTGATCAGTGGATCTTTTAATGAGGATGTTTGAGAGAAGACAGTGACAATGATGAATGGTCATTATGAAGAAGATGTCTGTGTAGCTGCAGTTTCCTGTCAGCGGGTGACAATATCTATGGTGCATTCACCAAGATTTTTTTTATTTTCTGTTATTCAAGTTTTATGACTTAATCAGACCATGTACGCTGTAAATGTTTGTGTACATTACCATAATGATTGGCACCATACTGAGCCATGAATGTACAAGAAGAAACTCTACTCACAACGAAATCCATGTTACCTACTGTAATGTAATGATCCAGACATATAATTTGGTACATTCAGTTTAAAATAATGCCAAAAAAATCATCACACTCTGGAAATGTTGAAACGTGATTGCATTAGATTACCTTACCTTCACTTCAAAACAGGAAAGGAAAATGTCCCTTTTTCACAGTTGATTTCACTTGCAAATAAGGGAATAGCCTCACTTAAGCCTCCAATAAGCAAGAACACAAGTATTTAAAGAGCCTATGTCATGCAAAATCAACAGTTTTTGAGCTTTTAACAAAGGTAAACCGTGTTATGTACTGTTCCTTCATCAAGATCATGCATAAAGTGTTATTTCACTTGATTTATGCATCTCTGAGTAATCCTCATGAGTTCTATCTTAATAGACACACTCCCTGTCTCTTGAAAAGGAGAAGTTGGAGAATATCTAGAGTGTCACCTACAGAAAGCACCTACCAAGTACCAACCTACTTTTTGGTCATGAAGGAGTGATGTGATGCAATAAGTGATGATTACGGCACCTAACCTGCACAGGATAGCATCTTTTCTATTTTAGGTTCATGTCTAAGGGCCCGATCTTTAGATGGTGTGCAGGTCTTAAATCATTAGATTTTCAAAGAAGGTGCAAAATGATTTGCATTTGCAATTCAGCAAAAAGTCTGTGCAAACATTTTTCTGTGTGTTTGCATCATCATTGTGCAGACTGCACAAATTCATGGTTATGTAAATGTAAACCTTTACAATGTGCAAAAAATGTATTTTCCAAATCAGAAACTAGCTGGCTACATCCTATTTTTTCTTATTTCTTTTAAATGTTGGGTGCAAACAAACATGCAAACATATTTGCTGTCATTGCTGCCATAAAGGAGGCGTTGGTACAATGATACAGGATGGATAGATATTCTGTCCATATCAAGATATTTGGACAGTGAAAATAACAATAGTCAAATTTTATCAATAAAGAAAAAATATCTTCCAATGCCTCCTTAAAGTAGAGCATTGGAATAACAGACAATATTTATACAATTAAACAAAATCAAAAGCAAAAAATAGAACTCAGATATTATGGCATGTTTATGAAAAAATAGAATTTCAAATAAGCTTGCGAAGTGGGTTCTCTTCGCAACAGGGATTTTTTCTCTCCCTTGATTTAATAAAACATAACGTGTTTATTTTCTTTTACTTTTGTTTGTAGCAGTCTGAGATGGGAAATGCAGTACACTAGAAATAATAGTTTTTTTTACTACAATTAAAATGTCCTAATTATCAGTATTATCTCAATGGCTTTGAACCTCATCTTTGTTTTATGGCCATTCTCACACCGCTTGTAGAGCACACAATCAGCTCATTTTAATGGGCAGACCCGAATTACTTTGCACTCCTTAACTTTTGTGCATCAATCTTTCAAAATCACCCGTTACACGCCCACTTACTGCACATACGAAAAAAATGCACATGCAATTTATTGCCTCTTATTCTGAATCGTTGAAGATCAGGCCCTAAGTCGCCATAGTCTTTTTATTGGCCAGGAGAGGTCTCTGAATTTTTTCTGCCTTCAGAATTGGTTTGATACAGTGGTGCAATGCTATGGATGGCCCCCTGATGGAAGAGGCACCTTTGCTTTGAAGGCAAGGGTTTTCTTTCGAGGTTGAAAAAATTTAAAATACCTATTTAGTTCTAAATATGAACTTATGTGTCTTAAAAGGCGTAAAAAGCATGATATGGGACCTTTAAACAAAGATAACTTAATGAGGGCAGGAAATATCCAAAGAATCCTGCTGTCAGTTTCCACAAAATAAAACAATGATTGATCAAACAAACAAAAGAAACCAAGTGAGAATATTTCTTAATTTCTTAATGAATGCATTTCTGAGTTTAACTGATCTTTAAAGTGGCTGATTAACATGTACATCAATCCAAATCCTTATACACTGCACACGGTACAATGCACAGGTCCACTGGGTTTTTTTGTGATGTGATGAACACATGTCATTTTACAACAAAAACTGTTTCCAAGTCTCCAGGCTGCCTGAGTTTATGTATATACAGAATTTTTTGAAAGACTCATATATGACTACATATAACTGGTGATAATGTTGTTTACCCTGGCTTGCCTTTTTTAAACATCTACTTTCCTGTTACAGACATGCTTATTTACACAAATAGCAGCAGGCCTTACATATGCACATTCTTATCCAGTCTGGGATTCTGTATTAAGCAGATTTTTAATCATTGGTGTACTTAATCTCACTTTTCATCCATTAAACTGGTTGATTGTTGCAGATGACCGTGTCCCTTTGATTATTGTTTGGTATATTTGTATTATACTTAATTGCCCTTACAATATTTCCCACCGTTTGTCACCATTTCCCTTTTTCCCCTTGGCATGGAGCAGCCGGCTTCCTTGGTCTGGCATAGAATCATGGGATATCCAAGGCTACGAAAGCTATGCCAGACCTGTCCTTCAAAACTGGCAAAAAGAAGACTCCATTAGTGGATTGCATATGCAGGAGTCTTAGAATTCGAACAAGCCACGGTATGATGTGTTTACCCAGCGAATCTGACGTTCCAAGGATGCAACCACCAGATTTGTACACACAACCTGTATATTGAGGAAGAAATTCAGCAAGCTAACTTTGGTGTGCTGGACCAAGAACACAACTAAAAGTTGCAGTATGTGGCCTGAAGTTATCCACCCTCATTTTATGTCATCACCCTCAAACAACTTTCTATACTAAAAGTAAACCATTTTGTGAATAGGTTTTTTTTTTTATGCCCATATATATTGTATATACACATGTAATTTTCATCTTTACATTTCTTTAAATCAGAATATTCTGTTTTTAGAACTCTACAATATTTTCTTTTAAGTTGAAAATTTGACCTTATTGTGCAATCTTTGTTTTTATTATATTTAATCCAATTACCATCACACAAAAGAGTTAGAAGATCATTGTCTGTTGCTAAATGTAAAATGGAGAAAAATGGCAAAGTAATTTTGCAAAAAAGATAAATTAATTCTTTGTGTTAACCAATACAAAACGCTGATCTCAGTCACAGAAAACATTTATGTACAGAGTGAAAGAACTGAGCAAGCTGGCCTTCAAACTAGAGGCCTATACTATGAAGCCAGCTCAATGTCAGATAGTACTTCCTGTCTATCCAGTTTAACCAATCCACAACAATGGCAGTCAGGATCAGCAGTACCACTAAACTGGTTAAAAACTCGCTAACTCAATCCACCTTGAGCTGATCATTAATCTGTGAATGTGACCGTATAAAGGGGCAGATTCAGGGTAGCAGATCAATCACAGTCATGAGTGCAGCAGGAAGAGCGCCGTATTTCTCCTGAGAAGCATAAAAAATTATTTTACAGAAATACAAAGGGGAAAAAAAGTTACAATGAAAAGTCAAACAGGGTGGTAGCATGAAAAGGACGCCAAATGATATGGCAAAGGATTGCTGACTGTGTAAATAAGTTAACACATAGCATTCTAAACACTGTACTGCATTTTAATGGAGTCTCCCTTGGGAGTGAACAGGACTTGTGAGCAGATAAAACAAAACACAAAAACATAGTTTCATCTGATTGGTTGGATTTTTCATTCAATAATGTATGGGCTGCAATAAAGCTGGAAGCTGATGCCACCATTGCAACATGTTAATACAAGAAGAGAACAGTCTGAGATAAATGGTAATAATCTACTCTAAACACAACAATACATGATAGATAGATAGATAGATAGATAGATAGATAGATAGATAGATAGATAGATAGATAGATAGATAGATAGATAGATAGATAGATAGATATGACATTGTAGAGGAGATAACATATAAGATATAGAACATAGTAAAAGGTTGGTATGGCAAAAAGGAGAAATAAAAAGAATAAATTGAAAACTATTCAATTTGCCAAGAACATATGTTGTTTTAACTACTTCTTGTTTTTCAAGGTCTTTTATTGTCATTTAGTTTTGTTCTTTCTGCTTTGAACAATATCAAGTCTGCAATGAAAGGGCATGTCATTGTTTCCCGTGCAGCAGACTGGCTGCTGGGTGGAGCGTTTTCTAAGAATTCAGATCAATCCTGAAGCTGTCCTGCCCTGAAGTACGTTTACCGTTCAGAATAAATTACCATGCAACTAGCCTCACTGAGAATTCAATTCAGTTTATTTATACAGCACCAATTCACAACATATGTCAACTCAAGGCCCTTTACAGACAGTTCAACCAGATCATGCGTACAGTCAGATTGGTTTAAGATTTCTATCTAAGGAAAACCAGCTAATTGCATCAAATCATTGGCTCGAAGGCAGTCCCTCACACCAAACATGCTTGTAGTAACAATAGAGAGGAAAAACTCAATTTTAACAGGAAGAAATCTCCAGCAGAACCTCAGTGTGAGTGACCATTTGCAGAGGCGGGGGTACATAAGCAGACATACAGAAGGAAGCAGAGAAACAAAAGGCAACCGTCAGCCAGCTCCACAGGCGGCCCTGTCAAGGAAGCACACAGCCAGACAGACAAGCTCCGAGACAGCTCCCATGCAGAGGATGAAAGAGAGCACACACAGCATAAATCCAGCTTTGTGGTACCGGAAGGTCAGGGTTAAACTTCAAGTTGTACCGCTATCCTGCTTCGTGGTACAGGCCTCCGTTCTGTTCTGGGTAAATATTCTATAGGGCAGTACGCCCAAAACATTAGACAAATGTCATGCAATTATACAGTACAACCACTAATCTACCCAAAAAAGGTCTGAAGATATCTCACATTAAAAATGGTAAAACATAAATGATCTGTTTCTCATTATTATCCATGATATAAACATGGTTGATGGAAAATCAACTTGAAATCCATGGGGTATTTTACATTTATTTTACATTTACAAGGACAGTATGATAAAGCAATGTATCATATTAGGGCAAAATTGGTTCTTAAAGCAGCTAAGTAACACCTGCAACACAATTTTAAAAAGTTACATTACTGCTGGAGATAGTTTAACTATTGCTCTGCTCATGTGGCTGCCTGTAGATCTTTTATTGATTTTTGGGGAAACATGGGAAGCTGGGGGACATGTAAACTTCCTAAAGCAGCACATTTTAAAGATATGAACTTACTTACACAGGTCTGTTTTTATGGGAAAAAATATAAACGTGAGCTGTGACCAAATAAGGAAGGCAGCAAAGATCAAAGAAGTAATGACTGAATTGGTCCACAATTATTTTGATGTTGCAACAGTCACTACTCCTATGATTTCTGTTTTCTTTGTTCTCACAGACACATTATAGGGCCACAAAATCCCTTTACACACAGCTTAACAAAAAACAAAAACAAACAACTCACCCACAAATCCACACACAATCTGTGTGTCCACACATAAAACCTTTTTAAAGCAACATAGTCAGCCCACAGTGTATTAAAACCTCATGCTCAAGTTCATCTGAAGGTCTCATTTTCCAAACTGAATGCATTTGTTTTATCCAGTGGGAGTTTGTGCCTTGTGAGGCAAAGGAAGTGGCAGCAATGTTTCACGCTTCCAGATTAGACCCATGTTCAGGATAAGCTTGTGCCAGGGAGAATAATAGAAATTGTTCCTCTTTTAAAAGGTGCTGGGAGGGTATTTAGGGAAATGTCACTCAACGTGGTCCAGGGAGTAAGGAAGTAAACGTAAGTAAAAACACCTGTGCAGGTGTTATTAACCTAATCCCCTCCATTCCCTGCAGTGCATGGCCACGTGTTCTAATGTAGTCACTTAACACTGCAAAACTTCTTTTTATGTATCATATTAACCCCAGGGTCTCTGCTAAAAACACAATTAACTTGTTAATTATTGAAAAGAATTTTAGGAGTCCAAGCAATGACCAGATATGAGTCTTGCATATTCTTTACCACAGTAATATATATATGTATATATATATATATATATATTAGAAGATTAATCATATATATATATATATATATATATAGATATACATATATACACATACATATAGAAGATTAGTCACAAAATGGAAGAACTAGCTGGGAACAGTTGAAGTACGTGCAAGGACACCTGATTCTCAAGGACACCTGATTCTCAAGGACACCTGATTCTCAAGGACACCTGAATTTGCTGTAAATAAATATTTGCTAAATAATGAAAATAACAAAGCAGATAAAATTGGTGCTGCAGAGATGTATAAAAACACAGTTTATACCTTTCCTGCAATAATTTTTTTCTTAATTGCTGTCTCTGTTTGTTTTGTTGTTTTTTGTAGAGAAGGAAACTATTAAGCTAGGAGAGAAAGACACAAAAACATTAGAGGAGTTTTTCACTATCTTTTAAAAGTAAAAAAAAATCACAAACAATTTACAACAAAGCTACTGTGGTCCTCTAACTACAACAACTCGCAATAGTATCACACCCCTAAAACATTTCATTTTTGGAACCTAAGAGGTTCCAAAAATACACGTTTGTTTAGATTTTGAAATTTATGATAAACTCACTCAGAATGTTATATAACTGTTACATAGAAGTAGAAGGGCAAATGGTTTATGATATTTTTTTTTACAAAAAAAATTATAAATGACCTAAACAATCACATAAAATCATAAAAGATTTAAAACAACTATCCAACAATGAACGTGTTCCAATACAAAACCATTAACAAAACTTATCAAAAGGTGCAGCTCAACTAGGGGTAGAAAAAGAAAACAATAAAACAATGTTTTAAAAAACAACAACAAGAAAACATTTCAAACTTTGATAAAAGTCATGTACATTTAATATTCATAGCAAATACATTTTAAAGAATCCTCTGTCATGGTTTTGGAAATTGTAGCTGGATCAGAGTGTGGACAGTA